AAAAGAACGAATCTCGGACCGATAAAATTTGCTTGCAGCACGTCGTCACGTTGTCAGACAAGAGACAGAGAGTTTCTGTTTCTTTCTTTGTTCTGTCTCGCTTCTTTTTCTACGGTGTGCGCTAATTTTGGACTTGACTTGAGATCAACGGTAGGTAAATTGGAAAGTTCTCGGACTCACCGAATGATAGTGCCTAGCGGCGTTTGGAAGAGTGAAGGCGCGTTGAGTACCAAGGGGTGGATAGTTTCTGGGAGCCGGGGAACGTGCCGATGACCTCCCAACTGCCGCCCACGCAAACACAACACAAACACAAAAACACAAATAGAGACACGATGATACAGGTAGCGGTGTTGACTAATAGCAGTAAATCCTATCGACTTTTCATTGAATGTCCCAACATTGGAAGATACGCGTGTTTCTCAACCATAGGCTAAAATTTCTCGTCAAATATACGCCAGCCTATTGCGGAAAAGTATATATATATATATATATATACATATATACTGTTGCAACAGTAATATTCTTTTCCTGTACGCAAAGCGATACGAAAGTTATGCAGTGCTGATAAAGACAAAACGTTTCATGCGGCGCAACGAAAATATGTACACGCATAAGTACACGTATAATATAGATATGTAGCACGAAATTGATCATATACAATATTTCTGAGCGTACATTATGATTATCTTCCAACATTGTATAGTAATTAGAAAAAAAAAAAAAAGAAAAAAAATGGAAAAAGAAAAAAGAACATTCCAAAAAAAGTATGAGAAAGAATGAAGTTTGGAGCGATATGTGTGTGTGTGTATGAATGAATGAAATTACCAAGAGTGAAATTCGTAATAAGTAATACCATGCTAGAGGAAGAAAGGAAGGAATAGCAAAGATGAATGATCTAGGTAGGTCTAGGTCATGGTATATGTAGATATATGTAAACATATGTGATGAATGATCACGTATGAAATAATGGGAATCGATATTACGCTACTTGAAAGGATGAACTTTCCACGCACACTATTTTTGTTACTCGTATATATATATATTGGCGTATGGAGAGATAATCGAGAGAGATAAGAAGAGGCAAGCACATCGAAGGTAATATGCCGACCACATGCAGAAGCGGAATAAATACATCACCTGTCACGTTAATGGGCGCCCAGTGTGTGCTGTGGTATTTGGTGCTATGCCACTTAACTTATAAACTCCTGCTCGAGTTTTACACGCACTGTGTGTTATCGTTCGTTAATCGAGCATCATCACCCCTTCCCAACTGCGAGTTTCGCACCGTTGCTACGTTGCGTTCCACGATACAGAAAACTTTTAATTCTTTTATTTTATATTTTTTTTCCATTTTCTTTTTTCTTTAGTAATATCAAAGGGACGGTTTTTTTCGTTGCTCCCACCCTTGCTATCGCCTCGGAATCTAACGAACCGATGTTACATTAAACGGTAGAGTGGTAAATGTTAGTGTTATGTGCGAACGTGTGGACATGTATGAGAT